AAAAGTTTGTCAGAAGTGGGATTCGAACCCACGCCTCCAGGGGAGACTGCGACCTGAACGCAGCGCCTTAGACCGCTCGGCCATCCTGACTGTTAACGGCTCATGAAGAGCTGCTGGAAAATTTTTCTGATCAAAACCAATCGACAGTACATTATGCTTCTAAGTAATTGGGTAACTTAGTAAACAAGTGTGTAATAGAGGTCTTTGTTATCAATTGATGCATTTCCTATCAGCTATACATTTCTAATTAATGAAGACACTCTCTTTAAAGCCTTGGTCTTTGCATGACACAAGCCAAACGTCCTGTGCTCTGCTTTATACACCATGTTTTATAAACAAACTTTGTGAAACTTTGTTTCCAAAATAAATTGCATTACCATGAAAACCAAGTTGCTACCAACTGACAAAACAAATGCACATCGGTAGGTTCTACTGAGATTTGAACTCAGATCGCTGGATTCAGAGTCCAGAGTGCTAACCATTACACCATAGAACCCCTGTGGTGTGAGGCACAGATCCTGTGGAAAGATCATTAGCTATCAATACTTTACGGATTTTCTTGTAGGGTTCAAAAAGGTTTCCATTTTATGAAAACACTCTCTTTACATTTCTATTATTTTGAGGCATTCATGGGACTTTATTTTTTAGCATTTTCCTGTGATCATTACACTACAGTCTTGTTTGTTTTTGGTGATATTTTGACAATTTATAGTATTTTATATATATATATAACAAAGTTTGGCGAGGTTTTTATGCCAAATTATTCACTTGGCAGCATGTTTTAAGGCATAAACTTGCATTTTGAGACCTTTCTGGGACTTTTTCTTCTTTTGCATTTTTTGTCATAGTCTACAATCTTTCCTATTTTTGTTGAAATCTTGATTTTCAAATAATTTCTTTTTGTAATGTTCAAATTAAAGCATATCGAGATTTCTTTTAGAAATATAAAAATATTTAAAAATATCAAATCTGATTTTTAATCAGAATCTTGTCAAGTTAAATTTAACACAGATGGTTTTATGACTTTCTGCTTCACAAATCTAAAATAAAAAAAGGCACGTAAGTAAGTAAGTGTACAGCTATTGTCAGCTAGATGTTTATTCCTGGAGAACCTCTGCCTCATGTCTTGTCTCCAGCCAATGGAATCCTTTAAGACGTGGAGCTGTGGTTGACAATCTAAGTATGTCTGTAACCACCTTACTGATAATGGTTCTATTTTAAAAGGACTTGTGCGGCAGAGACATTTCTCAGTTATCTGTGGTTTCCAGCCCAGAGGAGGTCAGAGACAGGTCTGCATCATTTCTCTGTAGGATCAAACTGTGCTGCCCAGGAATCAAGATGTAGGTGTAGCCACCTACACACAACACTAAAGCGCCTGACTACATTAGTAAGCCTGTAGATAAATTCAGCCAACACAGTAGAAACAGATGGAAAATAAAGCCATGTAAATCAAAACATTACCATAAGGTTGCACAAAGCGCACACACACACAAGCATGCTATCGAGCCTGTGCAGACGTGTTAAGTGAAGAGTGACATGTTATAAGAAAGGGTAGACAACCTTCGGTGGATTCCACACATTTTTTGAACTGCTCAAGGACATGCTTGTCCTTTTCTGACCCAAATTACAGGGTGAAAGAGAAACAAGGATAAAGTAGACGGGGAGGGAAGGAGGGAGGGAGTTGACCAGCAAAGCACAGCTAGTGGGTTCAGGTGTTCAGAAACAGCTGTCTCTGAATAAATAAATAAAAAAACCTGCGTGGGTGGATGTAGAACAGAATCATCGAGCAGCGAGGGAGTGGAGAAAGAAAAATGAGGAGGTGTCGAAAATGAGTGAATTAAAATATCCATTGACACATGCAGTATAATTGTTGATGATGACTGACAGTAGAAAGAGACAAGTGTTTGGTTGGATGTATGTGTGTACACAGATGCAACGGATGACAAGCTGCAAAACAAAAAGCGGGCCTGCTGCCCAGGGAGCTACAACGCTATCTCTCAAACACAGGACAATGAATAAGCTGTTTCACAGACACACGGCCACACGTGCCCAACAAGGTGAGCACAGCAGGCTGTGAACTAAAAACACAGCAATGCTTATTGACAACACCTTTTGGTTGTTGATTGTTAAATCTGGACATGTAACAAAAATGATCCCATCATTTATTAGTAGTCAGTTATTGAAATTCAGTATTCTGTGTTTTTTAGCTTTTTTGTTTAATTGTCTTTATTTATTTATTTTACACAGCACTACTAAAACAAACATACATATTGCATACATTCATGTTTTTCTTTCCTGGTGGTTGTAGAAAATGTACATTTGTTTGGTTGGAATTATGCAGAGAAGGGCCTGGACCACTTCACGTCCCGATTGCTAATGTGAGCAGTCCATCAGCCCACACACAATTCCAAGAGGCTCTCAAAGCACTGGCCGTTTCATTGTTTTTGACTCTGCGCTGTTGGTCATGTGAATGTGTAACAGCACGTTTTGAACCTGTACTTTTTACAAGACACTCCAGAGAAATGATTTAACATAAATAAATAAATAAGATATTTCTATTGGTATCTTCCATTCAGGTCAGTCTTTTGCAAGTTAAAAAAATCCTAAAAAATAAAATAAATAAAAGGATGATGGTATTGGATGATTGACAGAGGTTTTATCACATCCTTTCTATAATTACCCTCACTCAGAATCACTTGGTTTGGTAAGTGAAAGAACTAGCTGTATGGTCAAATGAATTAGCTGATTTACAGTAAACACATGTTCTTCATCAAGAATGACTTAAGTTTGGATATAATTGTAAAATTAGTAAAGTTTGAAATATATACTGTATATAATATGTATATATAAATATACTAGACATATATATATATGACATATTTATATATGTAGATATATATATAAACTTAAACTTATCTTTATCTGAAATAACTATAGCTGAAATAACTATTAACTAAAAACTATTTGAAATTATTTTATATTTAAATTATTTATTTTTGTAGATTTTCACCAATGAGATTTTCTGGTACAGTCGTCAAAGCACGCTCTTTCTATCAAATGACAGCTGACACAGAAAAAGTGTCACCTGTCAACTGTAGGGGGCGCGCTGATATTGGAACGTTTGTATAACGGAAATAGGAATGCATTGTACGGTCCTTATTTCCGGTTCCGGCGCATGAGAGCTAGTGTTAGCCGTTTGGGCTTCTAGCGGACGTTCAAGTCAAAAAACTGACCACAGTGGCTACATCTGATTGAGTGAAATGGTGGGTTTTTTAAATCAATTGTTTGTGTTGTTATATTGGTTGTATTTTGTTTGAAATGGAAGTCGTTCGGTCGAGACCGTTAGTGCAATTTACGCTAGCTAACGTTAGCTTTTGTCAGATGTTAAAATGATTCGTAGTTAGTTTTCGTCCTAAATAATGAACAAAGAACTGTCGTGGTGAATAAGGAATTGGCATTTGACAGGAGCTTGAGCTGGGCTGATGCACCTTTTTTGAAAATATGAAATATATGAAACACGACTCTGCTAGTCGAGTAGCAGAGTAATCCTCCGCTAGTTTTGACTTGCAGTTGTGTTACAAACATTAGGGCTATATGCTCTACAGTGTGTGTGTGTGATATGAAAATTATACTGTAATCATGAAAGTGTATTTATTTTGATTTATTGATCCAGATTAAAAGAATAGTAGTGCAACATAGGTAACTTCCTGAGGTTATTGGTGGTGCCAGTAATTACTTTCTGAGGTTATTGGTGGTGCCAGTAGTGTAGAGCAAACCAATAGTTTGTGAAGCGAAGCCATGATTGCGTTGAAGCCTTTTAATATTTACCCTTTCCCCACACAGGTGACCAACGTGTGGAACAACTCGGTACCTACAATGGACACATGGGATCTGGATTGACTGTGACTGTATCCTTTCATGTTATTTAGCTCGGTATGCTGTCGTGTCTTCACCAGGGATGTCATAAGTCAATATCACTAATAATTAAAGATATGAAGGCCCTAACATTTCCTGAGTAGCATCAGAAAATATAACCAAAGTAAAGGTGAACGCAAACAATAAACAAGGGAAGCCTGGCATACTGCAACAATGTTATGACAAAGGTTTTGTTATCATGCAACAGCACAGTGTTACGACACCAATAACAGCATAATAATTGTAATATTAGTTATTAACTAGTTATCTGACAGTTATTGTACCAAGTAAAGGTGTAATCATAACACAGTTGACCCCAGCGTACGCTCATGAATTGCTGCCACGATACATGCTATGTTCCCTAACTGGCTCTTCTCAGGGGACAGCAGAAATGTCTTGACAGGATCAGCTGACAACAACTGTCAACTGTGAGACTGCGTGATCGGTGGGTAAAAAGAAAATGCATGCATTTAGATAGATAGAAGTTTGTGAATCCCTCGGGTGTTCCAGCACCAAAACAACAACAAAAATGCACAAATAGGTCAAATACACACATGAGTAGCAGCACACTGTCAATGAATATGGGAAATCAGTGGATCACTAACAGTGGATGTTAATAGATTAGGCTTTTAGTAGAAGTAGATAGATTAGTAGGTAAGTATTGTTGCTGTGTGTGGTGTTGTTAATTGCAATCTTAAGTATTATATTTTCGTTATTCTATTGGTATGATGTGTATGTATAGTGACGTACACTACATTATACCCATGATATGTGTATATATAAGCAGAACTAGTATAATTATAAGGGTGTTATGTGAACAAGTATATAAAATTAATATACAATATATGAAATATATGCAGTGTAAATAGTTGAGGAGTGAAATACTGAAAACAAAAACCAGTTAGCTATGTAGGCGAATCCAGCAGACATATTAGTGTATGAGTGTCAATTAGCTATATAGGTGAATCCAGCAGACATTAGTGTATGAGTGTCTGAATCTATTTTGGATGATTTCATGTCAAGTGTTTTATAGTTTGGTGTTTAATTTTTTGCTCCGTGTCCTTTCTGTAGTGTCTGCCGCCAGAACACGCAGGTTCGATTTCAGCGGCATCATCGTCATGTTTTCCACAGATGAGTGGATGGGCCATCGGTGTTTCATGAACTTGTTCGACCTCAGGGATCCACAGATCGGTAGGTAATCGTCACGCACAACGTAAACAAAGTAATACTGTAAAAGAAACGAATGATAGTACACGGCTTCCTGATTACTGCTAAAGGAATAGTTTGCACACAGTATTATAGAAATGAAATAATGAATCACAGACAGCAGGTTGTGTAGAGCTTGTGTTAATGAGGAACATTTATTTATTTTTTTTTTATTTGTCTATTCCAGAGAAGTCCTGAAGAAATCTAAGGAGCACAGCAGGCACATCAACGACATCCCGACGTCTGTAGACCTCACCATGTTCATCAGTGCCTCAATGGACAACATCACCAAGGTGAGAACTCTTATGTTAATGATTGATGTGATAACAGTTGTTGAAATGTTATAAATAGTCATCAGAATGACACCTGGCTGGCCATCAAGGAGAAGGCCTAGAGAAGAGTTTTGTTTTTAACCTTAAAAAATGAAACCTGAGTTTTTAGTTTTTGAAGGTGAATAAAGAAAAGAGTTGTCCATGAAGACTCTCAGTCAGCCAGGTCACGGTCAAGGTTGAAGAGTTCCATTAGCCAACTGGATGTGAAATTTTCTAAAAGAAGGCGTTTCGCCTCTCATCCAAGAGGCTTCTTCAGTTCAAACTGGTGGAGGGGAGTACAGCAAATATATACTGTGGGTGGGACAAAGAATAAAGCGACTTTAGGTCCCTGCGGTCGGGTGGGCCGTCGGGGTCATCTGGGGAAGTGTTAACAGTCGTTAGCGTCTGATGGGTCGTTAGCCCTCCTCCTCTGTTGAGTAAAAATGTCATGTCCAGTTGCCTAACGGAAGTCTTCAACAAAGAAAAGAGTCATTGTTTTCCTTTTAACTCTTGGATTTGTCGTTGTTTATACACATTACGTATGGAATTGTGAGGTGACCCTCCAGTCATTTGTGCTTTAGACCACCGCTGCAGGGTAGAACAATAGAAAATAAATGAATGAAAAATGTATTTTAAGTTATTTATTCATAGTTTGTTATACATGTATGTGTAAACTGACGTAAATATTGACAATTTGCTGGGGGTTATTCTGTAAGAAGATACACCAAAAAAACCTCACAGTAGTAGATGTGGTTACTTTGAGTGTGTCCACTTGTCCCGTTTATTTACAGAGACATTTTTCCGTCAGTCTAGACATGTTGGTCAATATGTCAATACTACAGACCTCTCACCGTAATGTGAATCCACTGACTTATGTACTTAATATACTGAAATAGACTTTAGAATATTTGAAGTACATCTTAGGAGAAATGAGTGATACAGTTTGAAATGAACCGTCTGCTCTGGTTTTGTGTTAGTGTTGACTGTCTGTGACTTTAAGGCCTTGAAGAGAGATAAGTGCTTGAATAAATGTTTGCTTAGTTCAAAGCTGACTGACTGTGTGAGGCTGTTGAAGGCTTTATGTCAGCCACCCAGATAGAGTGGAGTAAAAATGAAATGATTATTTAATGTTTGTTTTGGAGTCCAAGATGTGGACTGATGATGATGTGGAAATGACTGAGTGCCATGTGTTCTCTCCACAGCTCTTTGATCGGAGAACTCTGCCGCCATTTCACCTATCACGTAAGTTGTCGAGTTGTCGCTGTGCAATGCTTATCCTAGTAGATCAACAGTGACCTCGCACCTTGCAATTGTGTGTGTGTGTGTGTGTTGTAGGTAGTACTGGGCAGGAGGCCATGGAAGTGACCACAACTTCCACCAGGATTGGCAAGTTTGAGGCCAGATGAGTTGAAGTGGAGTTTCCAGAGTATTATTGTTACTTGTTGTCTTCATCCAAACAAAAGAAAGCGGTAAAGAAAATGCAGATGTTCTTTATTGTATTGTGGTGTTAGCATTAGCACTGAAGAAGCCACAGCTTTGTTACAAACAAAGGCATTTATGCAGTGAGGAAATATCTGTTTAAATATTGATTGTTTGTGTTAACACGTGGCACGGTGACGTGTTCTTCTAATTTGCAGGTTCTTCCAAGCTGCGTACGAAGAGGAGTTTGGCCCCCATCAACTGTGTGGCTTTCCACCCTGACGGCAAGAGGTAAATGAGACCAACGCAGCTTTTGATTGTTCCAAAAAAATAGTTACACCAAGGGCAACTGGATGAAGTAGGTTTTTCTTTTATGAAGATGTTTTACTGCTTCTAACTGAAGAAGCCTCTTGAGTAGAGGTGAAATGTCTTCAACAACAACAACAAAAAAAACTTTCTTCGTCCAGTTGCCCTTAATGTAACCACTTTTGGATTGAATGACTGACAGCTTTTGGTTGTGTTATTCCAGCTCATTGTTGTTATTCATTGTGCCTTGTATGCTATTGTCTTAACAGGAGGAGAAGACTTGTGGACACAGCAGCTTGGACTCTGCCAGGTAGAGTGAACGAGCAACTTCATTTGAAGCAGATCAGTTGCTGGACTTGTGAGTATTTTACTGAAATGTCTAATTGCCTTAATGGTATTGTTGTTTCATTGTGAGGTGCATTTGACTTAAGACTGTTGTAAACCGTCCAGAGTAAGTTTCTTCTAAAGGTAAAGAAACTTTTTGACTTTTTTGAGGTAAAAATTCATTGTGCCTTAATGCTATTGTGAAACAGTCACTTTCATTGTGAGCTGTATTTGACTGAAAAGACTGTTGTAAATGTTCCAGAATAAAGAAAATTGTTGTAAACACAGTGCATTCATTTCTAGATATTGAGTCAATATGAATGGGGTTTCTCATTGCCTAAGTCAAATGTATGGGTATATGTATAGAAAAAGGAAAAAAAAACTGTTTTTGAGTATATGTAAAAACTTAGTTTTTAAAACTACTGCTTACTAAGTTCAAAAACTAAGTTAAAAAAAAACCAACCAGGATATTTCCACAATGAACAGAACAAGAAGTTTTTAGTCTTTTAATAGCAAAACACTTCACATTTACAAAACATGCATTCAATCACAAAGTCCAAAGATACATTTAAAAACAATACATGTCAAATTACAACAATAACTCTTAGCTTTACTTTAACACTTCAGCTAAAGATGGCAAAAAAAAAAGCAGTCATTTGCCTTGAAATACAACACAACAACCTTTTACTTGGTTTAAATTCAGAAAATGTTATACGTTTACAGTATGTCATCAATTCATCAAAAACAACATGACATTCTGAAAAACTTCACAAATACAAGTTTTGCAAGTGCAGTCATTTTTATTAAAACACAAATGACAATTTCATGGGAACAAGTTAAAAAAAATAATACTCTCTTGGTAAGTTAGGGGTGTAAGGGGGGGCTTAAAGGCTGTTTATGGTGATATTTTGAACTATTACATAAAA